AATTATTAGTGTGAAACATATTTTATATAACTACACTTATTTGTCACTATCTTCGAAAAAAAAAGGAAGTTCTAGGATTGATTTTAATTGTTTTCTTTTTCTTCATTAACAAGCTTTTTTTTTCTCCTATAATTTTTTTTAAAAGTTGAAGTGTTTCATTACATCACCAAAGTATCGTGAAATTTATTAATAAGTTTAAGCTTAATTTAATCATGGATAACAATTTTTTTAAGTATGTACTTAAGATTTGTGACCATGTATATGTAAAAGATTTTGATAAAAATGCACACCACTTCATTAATTTCTACTTTTTGAACAAAAATTCTGATCAAGATTGGTCCTCATGATAAAATAATACTTATATTATGTTAATATATATATATATATATATATATATATATATATATATATTCCTATTTATTATTTTATTATAACCCAAAAAAATCTTGATTAAAATATCTTATTAAATGCAAATAAAAGGCTTGATCCATTTTAAAATTAGGCTTAATAAGCTCTAATTTTTTGTCAACTTTGTTCGAAATGATTCTAATTTTTTTAAAATGTTCAATGTAGTTTTAAAGATCGTAATTTCTATTTAATTTAGTCCTTTCTGCAAACATCGTTTAAATCGTTAACGGTCAAATATCTAGTTGTGCAATCAGTGAATGACATGTCATTTAATTGCCGGCATGGACACTTTAAGGCATAGTGAAATAAATTTTTTTTATTTTTGGAAGTGATTTTCAGAAGAGCCCATGTGTCTCCACCACCTCCTTCTGAACCTAGATTCTACAACGCAACACTGCTGCAGCAGATCTCGCTGCCCACTGAACACCCTTTCATCCCAAAAAATGGTCCGATTGAGATAAAGGACTCTTCCAAGACCATCATCTTCTCTTATTCTAATTCCTTCATCTCCTCCCTCACCGGCGACACCAACACCAAACTGCCCTCTTCCTCGTCGCCTGTGACTGCAACACCTTTTCAGATCACGAATCTCTCTCAGGTCTCCTTCTCTAGAAAGCTTCCTATTTCTTCGTCTTCGTTGAAGAGGAAGTGCAACTTTGATAATTTGGGTTCTGCCAAGTGTGGCAGTTCATCTAGCTGATGCCATTGCTCAAAGAAGAGGTAGATATATGTACACTCTGACTTATTTTTATCCTAAAAATTAGTTTGAAAAAAGAAATTGTTTGGGAAGAAGATTGCTTAACATCCAACGCCACTATGACCTTCACAGAAGAAAAGTAAAAACCCTATAATTTGAGAATCCACTCTCATAAAAGTATGAGTTTCATTAAATAAATGACATGTCATTCAGAATCCACCTCGTATCCACGTCACCAGTTAAATGATATGTCATTCACTGATTACACAGCTGAATATTTGGTCATTAACGATTTAAACAGTGTTTGCAAAAAGAATTAAATTGAACAAAAATTACAATCTTTAGGACTACATTGAACATTTAAAAAAATTAGAATTATTTCGAACAAAACTGACAAAAATGGGACCTAGTATTAAGCCTTAAAATTACTACTCAAAAATTGGTTAGTCAAACTTTATAAATAAGAAACAACTCGCTAATATATCCCAATAATACCATTTTCTTAATTTCACTTAAATAAGGATATTGCAATATAATTAAAATATAATATTGGACAAAAAGTAATATAACTTATTAATTTCAATAAAATTTAATTTTCTATGCATAACAAATTTATACTAACATACTATAAATGTACGAATTTCGGGTGAAAAAATAAAATCTTTTTCTGTAAATATGTTTATAATTTCACCATATTGTCTTGGAATTTTTTTAAAAAAAAATTTCA